GCATCATCCGCCGCTGTCACCTGCGGATCGCCTCTGAGGTGACTCCACCCTCCCGTGACGGACGGACCGTCACTGGCCACCGCGTCACCGCCCGCCGGGGGCCTCGGTCACTTCAGCACGAGCTCTAATGGATTTCACACGCCAGCGTAATCACGACGGAGAATGTTCTTAGGCCGACCTGGCTCTGTCCTAATGGTCTGCCCATTTGAGAATCTCGTGGATAATCTGGGAATTGTTCGATAGGTTGAAATCGTATTCGGATGAAAGCCGCGATGTATTTCGGCCTCGAGAACGCAAGAGACAAACAGCCTGGCTAGGTACGAATACGTGAAGCACGGTATAACAGACAATGGCGGTCTATTCACCAGCCACATCATGGACCGACATTTAGACTGACCTGTGTATGTGCGAGCTATTCTGACGTTCCGGGACGTCCAGCGTGTGGTGGATATCAGCTGAAAGTCTGTGTTGTGCGTGTCGTTCTCGGCTGACTCCCTCAATGAAAGGGGTCGGATATCGGGCGACTTCAGGAAGAAAATTCGTGTTTTCCGCAGTCTCAGCCGCGAGTTGCATACACCGATCTTATAGAACCCTTCCACCACCAGCTGGGGTCGGCTGACCTGACCTGAGATGACCCGTTTGACCTCCACCAGGCCCAAACGTTTGACCGGGAAGCGAACCCCCGGCACGTGGATGGGGTAGAAGGCCAACATCTTGCCTGTGATCACCACCGGTCGGGAGCTTGTGTCGGGGAACACCCGACATTTCCTCCTCCGGCCTGCCTGGGTCAGGTCAGGACAGGTCAAACACATCACAACCAGGGCCAGCGTTAGCCATCGTGCCATAGCCATGTCGACGGCCTCAGCGGCTCTGTCCAGTCTGACGCGTCGATCACAGGCCTGCGAAGGCCATCAGTGTTCTTGTCGCTCGGACATGTGTTCCGGCCGGAATCTATGCCACCAAAACACAGAGCAAGGCTGCGTAAGACACTGCACTGCCGGCTCAACGCTTGAGTGGTCCGGAGGTGCTTGGCTCACCGCTTGTTTCGGTCCGCATCCAACACCACGGCCTCGCACAACAACTCTGCTATTGACGGCCGTTTAAATCGCACTCCTAAATAGGCCGCTCCTCTAGAGGCCGGGCACCCCCATATCGCTGCAGGCAGATGACCTGTCGTAGCCTGGGGCACGTGATCAGCCGAGGCCTGGAGCAGGCGGCGGCAGAGCTGACCGTCGAGAGGGGCGGAGGGCGCCACCGTCACGCTCCACTCTCCGGCGTCGACTGAGCGGCAGGCCATCCCATCCGTACACCCGCGCCTCCTCCGGGGCCGACGGCTGGGAGAGGACGGGCGGGGGGGGGGGGGCTGAAGACGGCGGGGCAGTAGAGGACGGGAGGTGAGTGCGGGAGGGAAGTGGGTGGCAGCTGAGGGTGGCAGGGTGGAAGAGTGCAGGGGCTGAGGACGACGGGAGGTAGGAGGGCGGGAGCTGAGGAGGACGGGAGGGGTGAGGGCGAAGGCTGTAGTCAGGAACAAGACATTAAGGGAGGATAAAGTACAGGAACAGTAGACCACAGGCGGGCAAAGGTTGGAAACTACGTTGGAAACACTGAAGATACAGCAGGGGAACAGCGGGAGTGCAGATAGGCACAGGACGGCAAGCAGCAGTTGAAGCACAAGGCCAGGGGCCAATAACGCAGAGAAGACAATAAGGAAATATGAGGCAAAGGACGTGAATAATGAATGAAACAACATTGACTGGTGAAAACTTTGCGACCACATGCAGCAAACATCAGCTATTTGATAGTAACAAAAAGCTCGTAAAAAGTAATGGCAGTGTAACTCTGAAATAATAAGGCAAAAGAGTGTTCTTTATTTCTTTGCAAGTTAAACACAATTTGCAATATACAGCTGACTACATTCTGACGTAGGAGCCAGCGAAAAAGTTATACGAATTATAACAGACCGTGAATTGAGAGCCAGCTGAAATCAATAACTTTCAACGTAATTAGCTCCTTCCGTCATTGCTGCCAATTAACATAGAGGTTGTTGCGAGCTGACCAGAGACATACTCACGCAACGTTCGTGATCCATGCTAGAGGTTCTTACCAGGAATAAAGTTTTCCTCCACCATATGATAATGACGAAGATTGTGTCAAACTCATGCAGCTCGTCATGGTGTAAGCGTGGGGTTCAAAAATACATAACGGATCACACCCGTTAAATGGCATGAGCGTCCCGTGCGATATCTCTACAAGCAAACCTAGACATGCCACAGCACCTCGCCGCTGTTCATGGAGGCACGCCTCCCGCGAGCGTTGTCTGTCTTTCAGTGGCGAGCGAAATGTTTTCTGACCACACAGCTTACTCCGTGCCTCTCCATCTCACTGGCCGCGGCGTGTCAGGGCCGATGGATGGGTGAAACACAATCCCTCTCTTTCCCCTCCCCCAGGACCAGGCGGGCAAGGACCGCTGATGTTCCTGCCAGCGGGCCAGGCCCCAGCCAGCCGCCGGCTCTGGGCATCGCCAATGTGACGGGAAGCGGTCACGGTCACAGGTCAAACCCAGCGCTGTCAGGGCGGCTTCAGGGAGGGGTAGGGTATTATTGGAGTATTATTATCATTACTTTTTTCGGGTACAAGTGGAGGCCATGCGATGATACATTTGATCGCTATGAATGTTTCGGACATGCCATTGCGTAAGCAGACTGTTAAGTGTGAAAACAATGGCTCAGTCTTTCGTTAAGGTATGAAGTATTGCTTGCAAAAGCATTCGTTGCGTTGCTGGATGTCTACAAATTAGGTCTCCACCGATTAAATGTGCCAATAACTCAGTTAAAAAAGATCGGGTATCTATAAGTTTAGCACAATATTTCACGGCTAATAAGACAAGAGGTGGGGTTTGCCGATTCATAACACACTCCGGACATAAATGATTACGTGTTTGAAGCCTAGAGCTCTAGGTGAGGAAGATGCCATTGCAGCACGTCTGATTATGGAATGCTTATGAAGATTTACGCGGAGGGGCAAGTGCTTTGCTCCACCCAATTGCTGGTGGCACGAAGAGCCTCTGGCGCCATATCTAGAGTACTGAACTACTGACCTACGGAATATGTGCTGAAATTCGTCGCCGTGTGGAGAGGGGGAAATGATGACAGCCGTAGGGGGAGGGGACATGATCAAAGCTGTGAAGTGAGAGAAGATGATGGCAGGAGCTCACATTGATCTTCCGACACCTTGTAATCCATGCGACCCATCTACAAACGGTCACCAGACGCCACCCGTGGACTGTCCATCCGGTCACCCGGGATCCCATGACCCGCTTGGCACACATAGGTGCCGGTGTCGGACCGTCACGCGAGCTTTCACCGCCGGGTGACGCGACACGGCCGGCCGGGGTGGCGGGGCCCACTGTCTGACGGTGAGCTGCTGGCACCGGCCGCTGTGACGGACACCGGCCGGCCAGGACAGGACCGTGACCTCGGCCTGACGGACGGCGGCCCGCCGTGTGCACGTCCACTGACCCCTGGTGACCTTTCGAGCTGCCAGATCGGGCCAGTACGCCGTCCAGCTCGGTCGGAACGTGTCAGTGCTACGTCGACCGGACCCAGTATGGAGGCTCGTGTGCTCATCGTGTTGGCTCTCGCTGTAGTGGTGTGTCAAACCGCTTCAGCAAGGCGAGGTGCGTATATCTGGTGTAAGGGCCTGAAACTGAGCCACGCTTAGTCCGGCCCTTTTCTGGCTGAAGTAGAGCTAAGCTTGCCGTTGAAGGTTGGAATTCAGTGTCCGTGATTACACAACAGAACATGATGTGCTTCTGATGCTGTTCCAGGTAGTTTTAAGGATCTTGTATCATAACCCAATGACTTCGATAGGCCATCCGCTCCCATTCTGACGCACCAATGAATGTAACGCTGTCCATTAAGCTTACTGAAGCCGTGCAACAGACTGACGCCGTCCGGGGGGGGGGGGGGGGCGGCACCGGAGTGGTGAGATTGGCGCGCACATCAACATAGAACCTATGCCAGTAAAGGCCTTCACTGGCCGTCTAGTGCACCTTGTTTGGTCTTTTAGTCTAGTGCAAATACAAGAAATTGCTTACACACCAGGTTTGCACTTCACGTCTTCACGTAAGATAGAGCGGTTGGTTGGTTTTATCCCACATACATTTGCTGATGGTTTTTCTCAGTAATTCCCGGTGTTTGTCTGGACGGTGAGAGGAAGACCGACGGTTGTAACCGGTGCTCCTGCTTGGGAGGCGCCTGGGCTTGCACCCTCAGAGCCTGCGTCGACCCCACAGGTACGGGCCGGGGGGAAAGTGCACCGCTCTGTATCAGATGTGACGTCAGGAGTACCCCATGCTCTGTATGATAATGATCAGTATGACTATGATAGTGTGACTATTTCCTACTTTCCCATTATCGTCCTCTCCTGCTCTCATACGTTGTAACCATTCATTGTGTCAATGTTCTTGCTCTCCTTCTAACGTGGCATACTTCTCGTGGTTACGATCTCGTTCTCATTCCCACACTTGCGTTTGCTTCCATGGTCCTTATATCTGTGCTGTGGTGTCTCGACTGGTAGTGGGGAGCATCTCCCCCCCCCCTCTCTTACCTCTCCGGGGTGCCCTCCTTTCCTCTCGGGACGAGGATGATCAGATGTGTGTCCCCATCACAGGCCAGTTGTCATCTAATGTTAATACAGGCAACTCACTTCTCTACTGCTTTACATTACTGTTGTACATCATCTAAACATTACATTACTGTTATACATCATCTAAACTTTGCATCACTGTTTGTGACTGTTGACAGTAATATATGTAGGCCCAATGTATGTCAAAAGGATTAGCCTGATTTCAGAACGCAGATATAAAATCAAACGAACTGCACCCTTATCGACCGGTCGTAATCAGTTTGGTTATATCTATGTAGCTGTTTGTCTTATGTGTACAGATTATCAGTCCTCTGACTGCTACACCTTTTGTTAAGAGCAATGTGTTTTTTTAGATACATTTCCTGGATCGCTGACATGCAAGCTGGCTCCCCACATCAAAGGGTGTTGAAAAATTCCGCCACGATATCAAGAATACCTGCTTGACTAAATTAGGCAGGACAATTGTTGGTAAGTGAGCCTCAACTATCCTTTGCTTAATACATAATTATCGCTCATGTCCTAAAGCAGTTTGGAGTTTATTTGCTTTCAGGAGCATAAAATGATGGATTCTTGTTTTATGACACTGACAGGATGTAGAATTACACATTAAGTAGAGACCGACACAAAACAATTAATTTTTGCTTAATTCTTTGCTCGTTTTGTTTCAGACTGATCAAAGAACATGACATGGCAACCAAGACCCGAGTTCGTATGCACAATTTCTTTCCTGATTGTACGCCTTGTATTACATCTGAGGGGCATGTTTAGGAAGTTAAGCCGTTCGTTCATTGTATGCGCGACTGAATTTTTCCACTTTTAATTGGAAATGTATGTCCTAAAAACGTCTGTCAGGTGAGACAAATATAAACGGAACACCGCATTGATGTATGACTGGCTAAAAGCATCGAAAGGATTTTACTCCAACGAGCGAACAAGCGGGCTGAAAACTGATGAGGTGGGCCTTTAATTTGCATTTAACAAACCTTGCATTGAAACAAAAACTTTCTGCTAAAGTGCACGAATGTGTGTGTCTGAGCCTAAATCTATTTCTAAATACATATAGTCTGATATGCAACATCGAATACTAAACTAGCATATAGGTACCATGTATGTATGTACACGCATGTGTGTCACACTTGTATGGATATACGCAGATCCATCCATTAAATATGCTGCGAAAAATGTTGCATTATTGAGCAAAGCTTGTATGTTTATCTCTGAATATGTGAGCAAATGCTGAGGCTGGGTGGACGACTTGTGTGCATATGAAGGTCTTTGTAGCTTACTGCATAAGCTGAATTCTGCATGAAGCTGTATACATGTCATGTGCACATCTGTTTTAATTAGAGCGTTAAGTTATACCTCACCCGAAAGTATGTTCACTAAAAAGAGTGCAGTGTTCTTGTTTTTGCTGAGTACGGCAAGAATTATGGCTGAATACAGCCATCCGCCAACCCACGAAAAAGCGGGTCATGCCTGTCAACAAAAAGACAATTTATCCGAACTGCCTTGAAACCCAAGGAATGATGATGTGAGCAAGGATGCTGGAAGACATGCACTGTCTACATGAATGCTCGAATACGTCACAACGAAACAATGAGTGAGGGCTGCAGAACAAACATTGCGTTGATGCGTAACCATTAATGCGTTAATTGCTACCGCCATATTTACCAGTTCATTATTACGCGATTTCCTTACGCTTCCTTACCTGTGCTCACACCAACTGACATCAAATACCCAGTCACTGGTCCTCAGCGGTACCCCACCACCCGCTCCTCCCGTCCTGCCACCCTGAGCACCAAACACCCCGCCACTGGTCCTCAGCGGTATACCACCACCCGCCCCTCCCGTCCTGCCGCCGGAGCATCCCCGGCCGTCTGTCCTGACCGTTGTTCCTCTCGCCGGGGTCTGTCGGCCGGCGGGCCGTCGGAGATGGTATCGGATGGCGGGACGGGGTGGAGCCCGGCCCAGCCCACCCCACACCCCGCGGGGGAGGGGGCGCAGATCGGCCCGATGACCGCCACTAATTGGCCTGGCAGGCGGCAGAGTCGCTTACCGACCGGGGGATGTGGCACTGAAGAGGAGCAGAATCGGGGGGACGGTGCACCGCTGTCCCCGAGGGAAAGGAGGTGAAGGTGTCAGGGATGAGCAGAGGCAGAGATTAGGGGATGAAAGAAATACGAGGCAGAAGTGAAACTACGGAGAAATACTTATATACGCAGACAAAAAAGCAATGACAATAATATACGGTGACTGAACTGTCCGATTGTCAACAAGTGAAAGAAGGTGAAGAGGTCAAGGAAGAACAAAAGCAGGGATCAGGGGTTGGTGGAAAGACGAGGCGGAAGTGAAACTACGGAGAAATGTTCATCTGTGCAGACAAAAAGGCAATGACGGTAATATAAACTGAATAAACCGTTTACCATCAGAAATAAATGGCATATTGCATAGAAAAGGTTGAAGATTGCATCATTCAAAACGTGCTCATTTAATAAGGAGCCACTCGATTTCTCTATCAAGCCTAATCTGCTGACACAATGCCATATATATTTCAAGCATTACTACCAACATTTATCTTATCCACATTGCATCTCGTTTTTAAAAACGTGTCTCTGGCTTGTCCCTTCGATGACAATTTAGACCACGTTACCGCAGGGATCGACGAGCAGTATTGTGAATAGCCCTAACACGCACAGCCTGGTATCTTGCGCCTTGGTGTCTGAGCTCCGTGTGTGTGTGCGGCTGTAATCCGTACCTCACGGTGTTAGGTCTTAGAAAAAAACGCAGGTTTATTCATTGCTTCTGAGGTTTTAGTGTCTCCTCACCTGCGGTCGCGTGTTTTACGACGGTAGTACACAAATAAACATGTCGGCTCTGCTGGCCACACCGCCCGCTTCCAATATGTAGCGTGGTTTTCTCCAGTCTTTACAGCCGCACAGGTCTGGTATCGCCATTGGGTCTCAGCCTCTTAGTCGTGTTATTTACGGCTGCACGCCTGAACTGTTGGCCTACCGGGGACAGTGCAGCCAGTAAATACGTCATTCCCAGCAGGGTGGAGTCCGAGGGGCGTTGCACAATGCTGGCTGGCGAATAGGCCGCGGGAGCTTATGCGCATTATAGAGATCGCTGGCGGTGATTGCATTCAGGCTGAAGCGCGCACCGTCTGGGTGCCATTAACGTGCCACACGAAGCCAGAGGGGCGCCTTAACCCGGATCATTCATCCCGCTAACCACCGAAAGTGGCAGGCAACGCGAGCAAAGCAAAGTGACCTCCTACAACGCGCATCAATAATAACCTTGCCCGTAATTTGGTATCAGTGGCGCGTGGCCGGTGAGAGGACGCGGCCTTGCATGCCGTGCACGCGCCCCACACGCGTCTGGCTGACCGCGAAGCGGGTCGGCCGGTCGGCCTGGTGATGCTGCGATCTGATGGTGGATGGAGCGCAGACGCACACCCTGCCGCAGATGCTCGAGCCTCGTATGGCCTTAACGGCCGGTCCGACGGCGGATCGAGATCTGATGACACCGACCGGCCGTCCCCGGGTCACCAGCGACGTCAATGGGTGGTATGCAGAGCTGTGGTCGGGCCGAGGCTCACAGATACCATCACCGGCAGCCGCTCCCCGCCGCGGTCAATGGAGAGCCGGGGGACCGTTAATACCCCCACGGTAAACGGAGGGCGTAACGGGAGAAGGCACTACTTGTGCAGCGATGGGTCTGTACAGGGCCTGGTGAAACCGCAGAGATGCTTTCATTGTCAGTTAACGTTAACATAACTTCTATGAATATGCTACAGATTTGTCAATTGGAAACCGAAACCGAACCGAAACTATTTAATTTATTTCATGCGTGCTCGTAAAAATTAACTCCGGTGCGAGATGTTCACAAAGGTGACGCTCCAGTTTCCCCAAGAGACCATTCCCTGGCAGTGTTTTTGCACCCAGCCGCCTGTTTTGCTTCCGACATGTCAGTGAGCGATGACTGCTGTCGGACCGGTCCTGTCCTCCGGTCTCAGCGTGTGGTCCGCTCATCTGACGCTCCAAACACGCAGCTGGACACGGCCCCAGTGGACCTCTCGGAGTGTGCGGTCCGTCCAAGCCGCAGGATCGCCCTGTTACAAATGGCCGCCGCTGCTGAGTCTGTCTGTGAACGGCATCGCCTGGTCCCGAGCGGCGGGCCGTGCCGGTGCGGCACCGCGTCATCACGGCCGCCATCACGCTGATGGCGCGGCCCGGATGACTCACCGGTCGGAGGCGGCCAGCTGCGGCCGGTGTGATGGACGTGTGCAGCGAGGCAGACGCGTGAAGGATGCGGTCATATGTGGACTGGTCAACTGGTTATGTGACGAGGTTTACCATAGACGTGAGTGATGAGGCCATATGTGGGCTGGTCAGCTGGTTGTGCGGGGAGGTTTACCATGGACGTGAGTGATGAGGTCATATGTGGGCTGGTCAGCTGGTTGTGTGTGGAGGTTTACCATGGCCGTGAGAGATGTGGCCATATGTGGACCGGTCAGCATGACTGTGGCTTTATGATCAGCAGCATGGGATCTCCCCGCCTCATTCCTTGCGGTCGATAGATCACTTGCACTGAGCCACTCTCCGGTTAGCATTACGGCAATTGGCCCAGGTCCTTTGATGAACAACATATACGATACATTTGACGTAAAATTCGAACCGTAAACCTTCTCCATATATGCATACATTTAAAGCATGACCCCAGATTCAAACCAAATTCCCAAGCTGTTTTGGAAGCATTTCTTTGTATCAGAGACCATTTCAAGGGACGCCTTAACCGCAAACACTAATCACGTTTACATTGATCTGCGAAGTCATAATGCACCAAAGTGAACGGGTCCATCTGTTTGACGTCCTGATGGACAGCTGACTATCGATACCAAGAACCAAACTGTGCCAGTGATAATCAGCTGAATGATATTTGATTGCCGTGAGGCACAGAACCCTTCAGCTTTACAAGGAGCTTGTCAAAAACGGCACACTGGTTTCCAAGAAGCACCGCAGAAGAGAAATGAATGGCAAAGGGAACGACTAGATGAATAGCATATTCCGGTGTGTTCAAACGGATGCGCGCACAAACGGACGGGGAGAGCAAATTCCATATGTGCACGTGGAGTGATTGCGTCATTGGTGACACGCCGGAGGTATACAGCAAATAAAGGACGGGTGGGCTGAGGGTGGCACTCTATTGGTACTACAGGTATTTGCTCCAGCGGACACTGAACGTATTTTAGCAACAACCAGTCCCGAAGTCGGGTGCTGGAGTTCTGGTTCACGTCTGCGTTATTTGGTGAAGTTGGAATGGTGTCCCCACAGTAAACGATTGACATGCTGGGTAGCTCCAGTAGAAAACAGATGAACAGTTCAGCAGAGACCTTTCATTTTTGCACCCCTAACATTTTCCCCACTGCCACTGGCGTTCCGACAAAGGGTGGCATATGCACCGAAAAGTTCTTAGCTGACATCGGGCTTGTGGAGCAATTCTTTAAAAACTTAATCTAAGGTTGAGCTTTATTTGCACGGTTGTTTTCTATCAATCCTACATCTGCAGTTGGCGCACAAACGTGCACGCATCATGCTATTATGATGTGATGGTACAATGGCCACTGTTAATGGCAAAATGGAAACAAACCCAACACTATTCATTCTGGCATGCATGGACATTGAGTTTGCTGAACATAATGATTAGTCCGTGACCGGCACTGTTTTTTGTGAGGGCATCTCCCATTTTCAGCCCAGGTATATAGCGTTCATTCATTAGGGTCGGGATTAGGGAGCCCAGAGGCCGTGAACGTTTCCAGAACCTGGCATGCGCTGTCCATGGCGATTGTAAGACCAAGCCAGAGCCTGAGAGTATTGAACAACTTCATGGACTCTGCCTCACGGCTGATTTCTGCACGCTCACGCCTTTAGTAGTTTAATACTCCATTGCTGATCATAGTTCGGGAGAATTGCTATGAAGTCGGTCTTGTGTGATTGTCAGTCCGGGAAAAAAGAATGTTCCAGCGCATGCGTATTAAGTAATAGAGATTAAACAGACATATTCCTCAAAGACGTTAGAATAAATCCCAACGGTTAGTGTGGTGGTAAATATGTTAGCATGATTACTGATCTTTGTCAAATAAGGGTAGTTTG